CCCCCCCCCCCCCGCAGGTCAAGTGTCCGCCCCCCTCCCCCAGGGGAAAATGTGTAAGAAAAGTTAATTCTTTAATAAAAAAAACAAACTACTTTCAATTTAATTTTTATAACATTTAAGAGGTATTAGAAATTTTTGCCTTTCATCGATTACAATTTATGGAACCAATAAAATATTGCTTTGTTCGATATATGTTGATGATCCATATCGTTCAGGTTAATCTTGTTAAAGGCTCAAAGAATTCGATTATAAATATCATATTGTTTTGAAAATTGGCCGCACCTGATCATAAGCCAAAATCTTACTTATCTTATTCGCATATATCGGTATTTTTATTTATTTATATTTTGCAGCTTCCAAAGTTGAAAGACTTTAATAACACTGTATTAAACTAACTTAACATTGATATAAGGGTCTATGAATTGAAAATAGGTCTTGCTAAGTAATAAACATGTGCAATCTGTTTTCAAATTATATTTGATAATAAAAAGCATAACTGTTAAATTAGAGATAAGTGTTAATTATAAAAGTATAATAGCATCATGCTTTTAAAAAATGCGTTTTAGCATACATTTTAATGTAGTAGATTCCATATATGTACATATATGTATATTGAGTTAAATAAAATGAAATCTTTAGAAAAGAAAAAAACAAACAAAAAAAGACGATATTTTAAAACAAAAAAATTAGGAATTTGCCAGTTGCATACAAATAGTGGACATTTCATCAATTATTATAAAATCGAGTGCGTTTCTAATTTTGAAACACAATTTCAGGAACAACAGTAAAATGCTTTATTTTTAAAAAAATACTTAGCCTTTAATTATTAAATCCCCAACGACTTTTCTCTGTTTAATATGAGAATAATAAACAATATTTCCCAGCTTTTTGAACTAATTTATTTTTAAATTAATTTATTTTTAAATTCATTTTTAGTTGATAATCCAGTAGAAAGAATATTATATTTAAACTACTTATTTAAAAAAAATATATAAATAAAAATCTAGTTTTTTCCATTATCTTGTAAATACCATTTTTTGGTAGTAGTTTAAAATAAATTCTATTGAATTGATAAAAAAAAAAATTGTTTTAAAGTATAATATCAAAGAGGCAAGTTAAAATTAATGGGAAGCAAATTATAGTAGTTTGAAAATCTAAATTAACATTTCAATCAACTGAATATTGAGAATTTAAACGTTATTTTTATACGATTTCCTTCACACAAAAAAAATCACACATTAATAAATATGTATTTTGTAAACAACTCATGTCTCCTTAACAGTTATGTCAGTTACATACGATTTATAAATAAATAGAAATTTTGAAAACCCATAAAAATGTACACCCGGTAGCCCTTTCTGCAGAAAACTTATTTTTTCGTTTTGACTTTGGTAAAACTTGGAAATATTTAGAAATAAACATATGCTTTTTTGTTTTTCTTTTTCGTTCAAAATGTAAAACTATTTTAGCATTTCTCTTTTGTGATGGATAACATTTTTTTTTTTGGAAGGAATTCTTTTTTAAATTTTAAAAATATTTTGTGGAAAAATCATTATCTTTTATGTACCGGGTAGTTTTTCCCAAAAATATGTTAAATAAAACTTAAAAAACATACATTGAATTTGCACCACAATGCATCACTGCATTTTGAATTTATTATTTTTAAATTAAGGGGACCCCTGACTTCGCTTTGCTAAAGACTCTTCTGATTCCTCAATTTATGCTATCCCTTCTTTGACGTCGATCAATGTGACTTAACGGGGTTGAATATAATCTTGTTTCAAATGATTATCTTGGGCACACCACAACCAAATTGAATTTAGTTTATGTATGGCACTGGATGTCATAATGCCTCCCCTGACGCTTGAAAAATTATTTGCCCTAAACAATAATACTCTTATCAAAACATTCATTACATGTATACTCCAAAATGCATCTTTTTGATTGTTAAATAATCAAACATTTTCTGGTTAGGAAAAGCCATCGGGATGCTTGATTTCTGCCCTACTTGAACTTCCCGATAAAATTGGCAGCATTGCTTGCCCTGACAATCAATTTTGGTGCTGATATATAAACTGCCCAGTGGCGGGACTAGTTTCAGCACCACCCAAGGTGGGTTAACTTTTTTGCTGCACTACCTTTCTCAATAGAAACTCTGCAGTTGTCCAAAAATCCCGCCGCTCAATCTAAAGTAAAAATAACACCTCGGAAGACCAAATATTTGCTCCTCCCATCCGCATCACTGGCATGTGTCTTTGGTGCTAGGGGATAAGATTGATTTTTTGTACTCTCCCCCCCCCCCCCCCCCCCCCC